AGAGACAGACACACACAGAGACAGACACACACAGAGACAGACACACAGACAGACACACACACAGACAGACACACACACAGACAGACACACACACAGACAGACACACACAGAGACAGACACACAGACAGACAGACACACTCACACAGACACAGACACACACACACACACACACACACACAGACTCACAGAGAGGGGCACAGTGAACCCACCACTCCTACAAACACAACAAAGTGACTGCTCTTTTGCAAATCCTATTGGTCCATCAGGCAGCGAATGAGGCTAAACTGTTTGCTTTAAACATATGTATAAATCCTACTAGAATTTTACAGGAAACCAGGTCAGAGAAAACAGCAGTTCAAACGATAAGTACTCACTTCTCCCTCACACTGCGCAGTGGACAACAGAAAAAGAACATTGGTCAGTCAGAATCTCTGCGCACATTGTAATTCACAACATGGAGTTAAAAAGATCAGAAGGTTATTCAGTAAAGAAGCCCGACATGAGACAAATTCGTTCATGCAAGTACATTAGCTCTCCCGGTTTGAACAGCCCAGCAGCAATAATGATTTGCTGCAGTTTCCAGTTGAAATCTGAGGTTTTATGGTGGGATTTTAAACCGTGGCACCAGGGAGAGTTAATGGATGGTAGAGAGGGGTTTGAAAACAGATTTGCATACTGCTGCCTTCGCCTCGGCTGCCTTCGCTTTCTTTAACCGAGATTTGCAGGCGTCCAGGTCCAGGCGTCTGTTTTCCAGCAATCGCCTCTCCTTCTATAACAATGAGAAACAAAAACAGACAGAGAGAGAGAAAGAGAGAAAAAACACCCTCCTTATTGTACCCTTGCAAATTTATCATCTCACAGCTCAGCCATTAGAGCCACAGAGACGTTACTGCACAGAGAGGGACCATTCAGCTCATCTTGTCTACCCTGCCCACTCTGTTCCAGCACCTGGTCCATGCCAGTCACGGTGCTAACCCTCTGACAGTGCAGCACTCCCTCAGCGCTGACCCTCCGACAGCGCAGCACTCCCTCAGCGCTGACCCTCCGACAGCGCGGCGCTCCCTCGGCACTGACCCTCCGACAGCGCGGCGCTCCCTCGGCGCTGACCCGCCGACAGCGCGGCCCTCCCTCGGCGCCAACCCTCCGACAGCGCGGCGCTCCCTCCGTGAGTTTCAGGAGGTTGGAAATTCAAGGACACAGTAAATATTTCAATGTACTTCTGAAGACCTGCAGTCTAACGTCAACCACTATGTGACAGCATCAGGAAAATCACTTAGAACTCACCGAGATCGTCTTCCAGTCTCCTTCCAGAAAGTTCCGTAGAGGTGTCAGGAAATTGATCATGGAAGACTGGATGAAATCCCTGTCAGCAGCTCCCAGGCGTCTCTGGGCCTCACCGACCTTGATCAGAGTGCTACCTGAGATCGGATATTCACAATTGGACCATATTACACCATAACACCACAAAACACAGGAGCAGATGGAGGCCATTCCACCCAACCAGTCTGTTCCACCATTCAATGAGATCATGGTTGATTGGAGCATCCTCAACTCCACTTTCCTGCCGTTTCCCCTTAACCCACGACTCCCTTACTTGATTAAAAATCTGCCTCCGCCTTGAATACCGAACACAGCCCCAACAGCCCTCTGCAGTAAAGAATTTCACCGATTCAATCCCCTCCGAGAGAAGACCACCTCGTTTGTCTTAAATTGGCAACACCCTTACTCTGAGATGATGCCCTCTAGCCCAAAGCTGACCCACAAGAGAAACAACCTCTCTGCATCTACCCTACCAAGCGGCTTAAAGGTAGAGTCGTAGAGTCGTAGAGTCATAGAGCACAGAAACAGACCCTTCGGTACAACCAATCCATGCTGACCATAGTCCCAAACTAAACTAGTCTCACCTGCCTGAGCTTGGCCCATATTCCTCCAAATCTTTCCTATTCATGTATCCACCACTTTCTCTGACAGTTCACTACACACGTGAGCCACTCTCTGTGTAAAAAGGTTTCCCCTCGTGTCCTTTCCCCCCTCACCTTAAAAATATGCCCCTAGTTTTGAACTCCCTCACCCTGAGGAAACAATCTTTGTTATTCACCTTACCTGCACCCCTCATGATTTTAGAAACCTCTATAAGGTTACTCCTCAACCTCCTAAGCTCCAGTGAAAAAAGTCCCAGTCTTTCCAGTTTATTCTTACATCTCAAACCCTCCATTCCCGGCAACCTCCTGGTAAATCTTTTCTGAACCCTCTTCAGTTTAATAACATCCTTCCTATAGCAGGGCGATCAGAACTGGACACAGTACTCTAGAGGAGGCCCCCACCAACATCCTATACAACCTCAGCACGACGTCCCCAACTCCTGTACTCAAAGGACTGAGCAATGAAGGCAAGCGTGCTAAACACCTTCTTTAATTCTTCATTTATTCCAAACTCCAATGAGTATTTGCCCAAACTCCTCAACCTCTCCAGATAAGACAGTCCTTCCATACCCAAGGTCTGTGTATCTTCTCTGGACTGCCCCTAGTGCCAGTATAGTACCAGGAAAAACAGTACAATTATGTTCCAAAATCGCTGCTGTTAATCATCTTTATTTTTTTTT